TTTTATCAAATATAGAACTTTATTAATGATTTTAGATATTTTGATTGCTTTTTATTTTACAGATTTTTAAATTATTAATTCAATAAAAATTGGTTGATGAAAAATCAATAAAAAAATTAATAAAAAATCTGTTAAGAAATCGATGAAAACCAATTTTTTTTCAAGTACGATTTTTTATCAAAAATGAATTTTTTTTTAATTTTTCTAATGAACATATTTTTTGTAGGTTTTTTATCAAACAGAATTCTTTTAATAGTTAAATCTTAAAAAAAATCTGTTAAAAAATCGATAAAAAACTATTTTTTTTAAGTACGATTTTTTTTTATCAAAAATAGATTTATTTAACATTTCAATTCAATAAAGATTTTTTATAGAATATATGTTTTTTAAAATTATGTTAATTATTTAATAAGTTTTAACTAATTATTATGTTTTTTATTAGTTTCATATATACCTGGCAATCAGGCACGTAGCCAGGATTTTATGTTTGGGGGGGGGGGGTCGAAATAAATGTAGTAATCGTCGAAATAAATAGTTCACACTTTTCCAAAATTAAATTAGCCAAATTTTCTCCAGTAAGATCATAGGCTGGAATAAAACGTAAGAAATCTTCATGTAGTTGGTTTTTAAAATTTATATACCTAGCGCACAGAGAAAGTTGTTCTATTCCAGAAACGTCTAAAGTTTCATCACATAAAATTGTAAAACAACCAGATTTGTTTATGTCAGTGACTAATTTTTTTGTTATTAAGTTTCCACATATTTCAATTATTTCATTTTGTATAGTCGGACTTAAGTAAGTAGCATTTTGTTGACAACTTAATAAATGTTTTTTCAAATTGTTGTCACCAGAATTAGCCCTAAACCGAAGTAAAGCACGAAATTTACCATCCTTATTTGCTGGTTTTTGAAGTGAGAATGGACCACTGTCGTTATCACCTCTGAGAGGAATTTCTTGCTCGCCACAAAAAATTATAGTTTCTATAATAGGTTTGAGAGCTAATCTGTTTTCATTTCGTTCATTTCATTTCATTTCGGGGGGGGGAGGTCCAGACCCCATGGACCCCCCCCTGGATACGTGCCTGCTGGCAATGTTATAACAGTAGTAGTAGTATATATGTACCATTCCAGGACCACCTCATTTTATATCAATAAAAGTTCAGAAAGAAAACAATGTATAAAAAGATCAGAAATTTGAAACGCAATAATAATTAAAATATTTTTCGCAAAACTTATATGTTGACGTCGCGAGGTTCTGTGTTGGTGTCTTCCCGGTGGGCATCGGCGGCCGTAAGCAACGACGTGCAGGCACCGATCACTGCGGGTTGTGGGGGTCGGGGGACGGTTATTACATAATACTGCGGTTATTTCTGCATTAGCGCGCGATAATCATAAAAATATAATAATAAGGTATGCTCGTGAATGATAATATGGGTACAGGTATGTTCGTTGTCTTTATAATAATAAGGCAAAAAATGCTGTGATGTTACACAAGTTACTCATTTACAATTGAACTTGTAACTTGTAACTAGACACTAGTTCCACATTTTCCTGTAGTTTTATAAAAAAGTTACATTGTACATAATATACATAAATATTAAGTATTATATTTAATATAACTACTGGGAATTTTAATTTTTACCTCCCTAATGAGCCAACTAGATTCATTTTCCCATCAAACAAGATACTGTTGAAGAAAATCGTAGCAGTTCTACTGCCCCAAATGGCTTTTTTTTTTTTTTAACTTTTTTGCCTTGTGAATAATTGGTATAATAAATCAAAATATAAAAATATAGTCCAATACGTTAACAGATTCATAAATCCTCTTAAACTTTTATAAGAGGTTTTTTGCTCTAAAGCCAGTCAGTCAGCCGTGTTTTTGGAACAAAAAAAATAAGTTTTCACTCACAGCCGAGGCTGGTACGTCAATACGGTAATGCATGGACGGTCGAGGGCAGCGTTATAAATCTAGCATAATTTTATTTTGTTTTATTTCACGTAAATAATAATATGAACATAATAGGGACCGTTAATATATAAAAATAATACAACGACGTGCAAAGCGCGGACCGCCGATAACAGCCGACCGGTTTTGACCTTAGTCCGGAGGGCTGGCTCAAGTTTTAGACAAGCTATAGTCGCGGCAACGAAAAATGAGGGCATCACCACCTTCTAAAATGCCACACTAACCATGCTGTTCCTTTTCCGCGTCGCGACGCGATGCGGCGAAATACAAGATGTTTATTTTTTTGCCGCGATTTCGCGACACGGCGTTAGTGTGGCATTTTAGAAGGTGGTGACATTTTAAAAACGGTGACAATATAATTATTTTATTGGCGGAAAAATTTGATATTGCCAAGAGCACTATTTTCGCTTGAGCCAGTCCTGCTGGCGCCAACCATATATTTGTTGCAAGTATTTTAGTAGAATTTATTTGACTTAAATACTGCAATATAGTTACCTAGTTATTTCAGAAAATATGTAGTATTTTGTTCAACACTGAAATATCTATATTATAAACAAATAAAACCTACCAATGTATTTTTATTAAAAAACACTACACAATATTTTCCATCGTAATTATTCAATAAGTGGGTACTTACTTATATTACAAATTAAAATTAAACAAGTATCGCACGGATAGCTATACTCGTGCGTCTTAAATGTTTATATACAATAAGCTACCTTATTCTATAAAAGTGAATCAAATTATTAAACCAATACTTAAATGAATTATACAACAAAATAAATGAAGGTACGAGCGTATTCAAAGTAATGTAATTTGCACGCTATAATTCAATTCAAATGCTGGATACAGGGTTTACACACGATACTTTATGATTATGTTCTTTTTACAAATAAAAATTACAATACTCAACTATACAGTATACTATACTTACTTTTACCGTCTTCTTTTACAATTTCAGTCCGATACTTAATGATATGTGTTTCAAGCACGGAAGCGTCAACCTTTGGTACTCGGACCATATTGAGAGTTAAACAGTAAGACGTATAATATGGAATAACTAAAATAAATAAATTAAAATATTCAAAATATTGAGAAAAAATAATATTACGTCCAGAAACCACGGTGGAGAAATAGGTTATGGCACTATAGAAGAAGGAAATAAGATTTTAATAATAATAATAATAATAATAATAAACAACGACGTGATAACAATTTCATTGTAGTATAAAAATAGATGTTTCGATATGTTTTCTCATTTTCAGTATCTTATTTTTAGGTATTAAAAATTAATTACGTACATTTAAATTTAGTAAAATAACAAAACGTACACTAATATTTATTAAAAACCACAGACTTATGATAATAAAATTGTCTTAATTAGTAATTATTGTTGATTATAATTTATAACAAACAATTTAAAAATAACAAAGACCGCTCGGCAATTCCTGTATAAAAGTATACGCCGACGACGCGCCGTGTGATCTTGTGACGTCACGCGGCTATCTCTCTTGAGCTCTATCGCCTTAAGAGGACGTGTCACGAAAAATTTACGCGTGCAACGACCGAGAGGATGCACTGTTAGGTGTTTTCACGATCCGCAAGCGCGCGGCGTTTAGTCACGCCTACTGTTCAAGATTCGCGACCGGCCGACGGCGGCGACGAATTCTCGTTCGGGAGCGCCGTTTATTTGTCTATGAACGTTCGTCCAGTACGATTCGTATCATTATAAAACTCATTATACGCGACTGCCGACTACCACCGTAATATTTCAATACCCATGCGTACCTATAAACTACTCGGATTATAAATTAAGATACTGCTTACCTAAATGTTTGTCAGGTTACAAACCTGTACAAATGATATAACATTGTTTGCAACTATTTTTGAGTCGATAGCTCAAATATTACTAAAAGCGGGTGCTGGAATAGCGTGACGCTGGCACCCGCACCTAGGAATTTGATTTTCCGGGGGTTAGGGGTGGTGTACAAATGAAATTTTTGTGGTTACAAACCTGTACAAATGATATAACATTGTTTGCAACTATTTTTGAGTCGATAGCTCAAATATTACTAAAAGCGGGTGCTGGAATAGCGTGACGCTGGCACCCGCACCTAGGAATTTGATTTTCCGGGGGTTAGGGGTGGTGTACAAATGAAATTTTTGTGGTTACAAACCTGTACAAATGATATAACATTGTTTGCAACTATTTTTGAGTCGATAGCTCAAATATTACTAAAAGCGGGTGCTAGAATAGCGTGACGCTGGCACCCGCACCTAGGAATTTGATTTTCCGGGGGTTAGGGGTGGGGTACAAATGAAATTTTTGTGGTTACAAACCTGTACAAATGATATAACATTGTTTGCAACTATTTTTGAGTCGATAGCTCAAATATTACTAAAAGCGGGTGCTGGAATAGCGTGACGCTGGCACCCGCACCTAGGAATTTGATTTTCCGGGGGTTAGGGGTGGTGTACAAATGAAATTTTTGTGGTTACAAACCTGTACAAATGATATAACATTGATTGCCACAAATTTGGGTGAATTTGCGAATTTGCGGGTGCCAGCGTCACGTACCTGACGTGCTGTCCTCTTTTCTAACCGCGTGGTGTGGCAGGTAACACGTATCGCCTTCGATTTCGCTGGCTTCATCTTTCAATCGTTCCATATGACCCAGATCTTCGTATTCCTTCATGAAACGTGTATACTCGAGTTGTAAGAGGTGGTTGTTTTCGAATTTCTTTTCCATAGATAATAATCGACGTTTCGCAATTTCGTATGATTTTCCCAATTTTTTGAACTCTCCCGGAACGGTAATTGAACTATAAAACGTCTTTTCCGTTAATTCACTACCACTATTTTTTTTTTTTGGTTTTTCCGTATTTTTAGATTATTTTTATATTATTGTTTTTAAATTATTGTATTTTTTTTTTTTTTTTTTGGTTTTTCCTGTATCTTATGTTATTGACTTATCTTATCGCTTTCAAAAAACACGCGTAGGGTCAGTCAATGGTTGAATTTGAGTAGGTAACCATGAATTTCCTTACTCTAGCTAGCGAATGCGATACAAAGAATAATGCAGTGAGTTTTTTACAAACTCGTGGCATTTTGCATAATCCGAGATTATGTAAAAATAAACATGAAATGGTTTTGCAACTCACTGAAAAACAAGATCGTTGGTGTTGTTCAAAACGTGAGTGTCGACAATACGCGCCATTGCGTGCGGATAATTTTCTGGCTAGTTCTCGTCTCGACTACGAAACAATAGTGATGTTTATTTATTGTTGGAGTAAGGAATACACTTCAATAATGTTTTGTAAGGAAGAACTTAACATGAACCACAACACAACAGTGGACTGGAATATGTACATGCGTGAAGTCTGTGAATACACTTCAACAAACAATAGTGCTAAAATAGGTGGTGTTAATACAACTGTTGAGATCGATGAAAGCTGTTTCAGTATGTTTAATTTTAAATTAGCTCTCCTGCACAATTTAAATTTTGTGACTTACAACAAGTGTGCACCGAGCTATCAATATGCTACCACAATTTTATGATCGATCATATTCAGGGCCAAATTTAGGATGGTGAAGGCCCCAGGGCCCATATAAGGTTGACACACATATATACTTACATGCTTTAAAACTTTAAAATTGTATTACTAATTTTATTATGAAGGTATGATGTTATTTTATAAATACAGATATAAAAAAGGTGGGCAAGTGGTTAGTGGGTGTCACACTGCTGTTTAAATGTATAATAGGTATCAAGGGAGTCGCTGTAATGGATTGTGTTAAATTTAAATTCAATGATATAATATAATTTTAAATCCTAAGCTATGAAAGTTGAAGAGATTTTATACATTTTTAACTTCAATATAATTTTAAAAAATTGTGTGTATGTATTTTTAATATTTTTTAACAAAACTAAAAAAGCACTAGAAAAAAGGTTAATAATTTTACATACCTAGTTAAATTGGTTTGCTTACTTTCTTTCATATTCAACACTATTCAAAAATACCAAACTGTCAGCCAATACCCATTTTTTTTTTTTGATGCAAATGGTGATCCTGTTCCCAGTTTTTTTTTATTTCGCATATATGTGTCACGAATGTTCGCCATCGTTTTTTACAATCATCAGCTAAAATAGACAAAAAAAGTTTTAGAAATACTAGCAAAATACTCAATAGTGTCTTTAGATAAAGCAACAGGTATTTAAAATTTTAATTCATATTTTATTCTTATAATTTAGGTAGCAAATCGTAGAACTTGACTTAGTATAGAAGTTACAAAACGATTTTATAAGGAACTTCTCAATGTGAAATCATGTGAACGTCTGTATGATGAATTAAAACGTTTTGAAAACGAATAGAAGTTCTACAAATACTTTTTGGAGATATCGAACACCGATGTATAATAGTAGTCATAAATTATAGTAGGGTTGATATGTTTCATTAATTTAACTTCTTATCGACGTCAACTGTAGAGTGTAATGCGAAATCGCAAGGAATTATATGCGTGCGGGCGTTTTGATTTTTCGTACGAAATTTAATTTTAGAACATTTAAAATAAACATCTCATATACATCGCTCGGTGCTTCATTGTGAAAATTGAAAAATATGAAAACAATAATATAATTATAAATAATATATTTAGTAAATGTATACAAATTGCATTGGTTTTTCCATACTACGTCCTACGCCCAATAATATGCTTGCGCGTGGCCACTATTTCAAAATATGATAATATTATATTATACTTAATACTTATATATATTGTCTTATTAGTTCGTTATATTCGACTGTCGCGCGTTGTAGCTAATGTAGCTGTAAAATAATAATATTGTATGCTATACTCGTAATATACGCTGCCGTGAGTTTACCTATAGTGCCTACATAGTGCTTTTATTAGTAGGTACATAATTATAGTACCTACCTACATTAGTACATATTATAATATAAAAATAGTTAACATTTGTGGTGATATACACTGCCCCACCGGTACCCAAGTGGACAAGATACACTCTGTAATATACGCTGCCGTGAGTTTACCTAGTGAGTACATTAGTACATAGTGTTTTTATTAGTAGGTACATAATATAGTAAATTAGTAAATACTACATATATAAAAATAGTTAACATTTGTGGTGATATACACTGCCACACCGGTACCCAAGTGGACAAGATATACCTATTGGTCAAGACTCAAGATGGATAATCAAAAACAGGTAAGACGATAATATATAATACCTTATAATACCTACCTATTAGCTATTACATAATAATAATATGTAACTTACCTTATATAAGTAGGTAGGTATGTGTATATTAAAACAGTATATTATGTGTATTGTATACCATACAATACACATATTATTA